GAACTGCATCTGTGACTGCGCAGCACTACAAAAATTTCCTGCGAATGTGCTAATGGGCCTTATGAGAATGTTCTATAACCATCCATCTGTCACTTTTTAACAGGCCTGATTGGCAAGCACTTGTAACAACTGACATCTGTTCTTGCTTATTGATATGTAGATTTATGGTAATTGCCATGAACAATAAGACACGAAATTACCTAAGGTGAACATTAAATTAAATTTTCATGCCCCTATCCTTATAAATAATTTTTTTTTAAAATCTTAAGTTTCAAGCAGGCATATTGTGCATCTGTTTTGTACATAATTTAATTGTTTTTTTTTAATTTGCCAAGTAACAAAATGAAAGTTGTGTTCCTTGTAGTTCTGACTATTTGCCAAGCTGATGGCACATTGGTAAATACACATTATTAAAAATTGAATCAAATTGTAATGTGGTTCTAGCTCTTTATAAATCATTTTGCTTTAATTCCCAACATTTTCTCCATCATGAAGATCAAGAGTTCTTTCTTACCCAGGAGTTCTCTCCCTGCAGGTGGAATTTCATTCTTTTTTTTTTTTTACTATGCCTATGAGGCTGTTTTTCAGTGTTAAGCGGTTTGCATTTCTTCAGCGAGAGGTACAGTTGCTGAGTATGCAGCAGTTTCAAATAAAAAGGATTGAATCACTTTCTGTCTAAGTTTGGTCCGGGGTTTGGGGCTGTTTTGAAAAACCTACGTGATGTGAAAAGCGTGGACTGCAGGAATGGAGACCATGTGAAAGGATAGAATGTGCCAGGCAGCAGAATAATCCCCAAATCTATACATTGGCTAGAGATTAACTGAACCGGAATCTACTTCTACCATGTAACCAAATCGGCTGTCGGATCTGAGGATCAACAGTACTTGGTTCCCTGTTCTGAGTTTGTACTAGCAAGCTGTGATGTTGACACATTTCACATAAAGGAAAAAGCCAATAAACAGGGAGCAGCAGCAATGATAAAACATCTGGAGGAAGTGGAATATAGTAACGATGAGGATAGATTATTTGTGTATTTTAGCGGTCAGCCTTTGGGATGGGAGTGAGGAGATACGCCTGTTGATTTCATCAGTTCTACAGCACCCTGGGCACTGGGTGTGTTCTCAGCCTGTTATTAACATTTTCACACTCTTGAGTTCCACTCGGTTCAATTCTTTGGTTTTCTTCTCTGATGCATTATGACAACAAGAAACGGATCTTTTCTGGAGGCCCCATAGCTGACACCACATAACATCTGAAGAGCTGGTTTGTGGCCAGTGTGTTGTAGTCACTTTTCCAGTGACACATGCAGGGTGGGGAGAGGACTTCTTTGATGTATGTTTCTTGCTTCTTAACATTCTTTTGGGTTTGAAAAAATCTTCTGTTAGTGGAGAAGATCTCCCTTTGCTTCCACAGGAAGCTAGTCTACCTGCTTCTGTGTGCTATAAAAAGGTTTTGTGAGATGAAGAGAGGTGGGCATTCATTTTGCCTCCACCTGGGAGCTAGACTGGCTCCCCAGGCTAAGGCGAGCTGTTGCTTTTGGTGCTGCCGATTAGCCTTGTCTCCAATTCTTTGTGTTTTGTTTTCCTCGAGCACTGCATACATGCTGTCTCTCAGCTCCCATAGCCTTGCACCCATGTAGTTCTTCACTGGCCATGAAATAGAAAGCAATAGCGAATTGTTTCCAATTCTTTTTGCTTATCAAACGAGTTTCAGAGAAATCTGCGTGCATGTTGCAGAAATTGGTGGGATTCCACCAGTCAGAAGCTATCTCCAAAAATTCTTTTCAGCATTGCTGTGTGCATCTTTGTTCACCGCTATTTGCCAGTCTAAATTGTGAACTGTTTAAAAGTACCACCAGGAAGCATCACCACACAGAAAATATAATTCAACTGCAACCTCCTTCTGATCGGCAGCCAGACCAGTGGAGAGAGAGGCTGCTTTATTGCGTATTTCTACCAGCCAGACCACAGAATGGCATTAACAGTGGCTTCCATGAAGATTTGCATTGTTTGCTGGAGTCTTGGTGTTGAGCTCTGTAGACTTCTAGTGGACCTGAAACTTTATGAAGGGCACATTGGGGCCAAAGAGCAATCTAGAATGAAACCTGAGCCCACACCCCATCTTTCAAAATGTTTCCCGCCCTTGCAAAGAGATGGAGTCAGTAAACTAATAGGTTTCCTCTGTCTCTAAATTTGGTGATCCACTGGCTGAACTACTCTGGAGGCTTTCTGTATAAATCAGAATTGTAGAAAGTACTTTACACACCTCGCCTCATGTAGTGGCAGATTGTGGGTGGTCTATATGAGTTCACAAGTGTGTGAGCAAGAGGATTCTAGAAGTTTCTCTCTCTCTTTCCTCCCCTACTTTTGTGCCCCTGCATAAGGGCCAGGCACAATCTTTACTCTTGTGCTTCCTGAGAGCTAGGAGATGGGGGCCTCTAGTATCAGAAACTGTAGAGGATGGGGAGGGACCATAGCTAACTTCCTTCTCCATACCAGACAGCACAACTTGTTTGTTGCAGGCTGTAAAAAACTATAAGCAGTGGCTCTGCTCTCCAAGAGGACTTGCGCCTGCCTCCAGCAGGGACAACATACCTCCCAATTCATCCCTTCACTATCATTGCCGCAATTGATGAGCAAGTATTCAGCTATGGATAATGTCCTAAAAGCATATACATAGAAATTTCAGATTATTTAGTGATGGACAAGCTCCTAAAGGCATGGATCAGCATAAAAAAATGTGAAGCTTCCCCAAGCATCCGCACTTAATCAAACCTATGCATTCAAAAGTACCTAGCCAAACCACTTTGGGTTGGAAAGCTCACAAAAGCCGTCTCTCATAAGAAGTTTCCATTATTCCCTAGTTTTAGCCTCTGAGGAAACACTACAAGGAAAGCCCGTCTTGGTATACTTTAGTATTTCCTTGTCCTATCCCATCTGAAATGAAGACGTTCAAGACTCAACCTTTTCAAAAAGTTCACCAAATTCTTTCATGTTTCAAAAGAAGACTTGGTTGAAGATGAGAGCTGTGTTTCAGGCGGTTTATTTTTTTCAGACAGGTTTGCCCGTCCCTAATTCTTTGGTAATTATAAAGTTTCCATGTAATTAAACTACAGCGTTTTTAAAGTATTTTTCTAAAGCACTTTGAACGTGATGAGTGCTATGTATAATCATGATAAAGCTCTAGCTTAAAAAGCTGAGCAAACTCAATGACGACCTGTGATTACAGGATACAGTAGTTACACCTAATTACCTTGGTTATTAGTACCTTGTAATTAGAGTAGTTATATGTTGTATTGTGCCTTGTAAACTATTATAGGTGATGGGGATTGAGAAAAACCTTATGGTTTATATAGTTCTTAAATTCTATGAGATGTCATGAGAGAGGTTTTCCTCTGTTAGTCCCTCAAAGTATACGATGTTGGTCCCAGATTCCTCTAAGTGATGGTTCTTCAGCCACATTACTAGTAAGATCATCCATCACCTATTTCTTTTTTTTTTTGGTAGAGTCATTATTGAAAAGAGCTTGACATCCACAACTGGGGCCGATTTTCAGAAGAGCTCCATTCTCAATTAGACACTTCTGAAAATCTGGATACTGTATTGAAGTTCTCAGCATTTAGAGGCTCTCACGGTAGATAAATGGAAACTTCTGGGTGCTGAGCATTTCTACAAGTCTGGTTTCTAATATCTAACCTAATTCTGTCCTGTGTTAGTTTCAAGCTATTGCTGCTCTTTATTATGCCATGTGGTCTCAGTCTCTGTAAAATGTCCCTTCTGCTCTTTTATTTTATTAGCTCTCAAATACTTGTAGAGTGTTATGATATCCCCTCTTCTCATTTTCTCCAAGTTCATATTAAGTTCTCCTGCTCATATGGTCGTAGCTTAATTACTTTGACATTCTTCTCTGGATTTCCTCTAATTTATCAATGTCCTTTTCATACGGCATATGCAGAACACCCACATGTGGCCAAACCAAGGTGGGGGAAAGAGGCGTTATTTCTTTCTTTGTCCTACAAATTATGCCTATGTATATAGCTGTGATGCCCATATATATACACACTCTGTACACCATTTTCATCTTTGAGCAGCTGCATCCCATTGAGATTTCAGGTTCTTTGTCACATTGTTGTTCTTTAATCATTCTTCTTCCATTTTGTATGAGTGTTGTTTAGTCTTTGTCTGCAATAGATGTCCTATTTCATATTTATCTAAATTAAATGCAATGCTTTTTAAATTTACCCCTCTCTTGAAGGTCTTTACATCATTCTGAAATGTAGATGTATCCTTCACTACATCTCGTAAAGTACTGAATAAACTAACTAACAAGTGGTTTTGAGAATCTGGATGGCTTACATGATACAGAACATTCTGCCTAGAGGTCCCCAGTTCTAATCTGGCCCCAAATGATAGTGACTGGAAATCATTACTGTCTGATAACTGTTCCGTGCTGAATTTGATGGTGTCGATTCAGTTCCAAATAGACAGAAGGAATTTCAGGCAAAAATTGCTCTCACAATTGGCTGTTATTGTGCGGTAGTCTAAGTAGAGAAGTGAAGAAGGGACTTGGGGACTGAACTTGATAGGATCTGAGTACCTCTCAAGCAATAATTAATTTACCTTCTCTCCACCTGCGGTGAGGTCAGGAAGTATTATTATCACATAGAGAGATTAAGTGACTTGTCACACCACAGCTCGTTGACGGAGGTGGGAACTAAACACAAATTTCCTGAGTTGCAAGCCCGTGCTGTAACAACAAAACCATCCACCCTCTCACCTGTAAGACAGATATGAGGCACATTGGCTGGGGCCAGTGGGGGGTAGCTTATACTGCCCAGGTTGTAGCTGTTCTGGGAATGAAAGGAGGGTTTAAATCACTGGTAGGACTGTCAATCTGGCAACCTTTACCAGTCTTATGTTCCTTTAAAATGAATACAACTTTTAAACTAGAAATCTCTTAATTAACCCTGTTGCTGAAGCTGCATTTTGTTCTCTGCACAGGCATGAATGCTTTACAGTTACAGAATTTGGCAACTTTAGCAGCCGCAGCAGCCGCCGCCCAAACCTCAGCTACCACCACCAATGCAAATCCTCTCTCCACAACGACTGGTGCGCTGGGAGCGCTCACAAGTCCTGGTAAGAGTAGATTACTTTCCATTCAGATTCTGCAGTAAGAGTAGACTAGAAGGAGAGCCTCAGAATGGTGATCCCGTATCTGTTTATCACTTCCAAAACCAACCAACTTGCACATGAAAAGTGTGGAGGGTTTGGGGTTTTTTTTTTTAGTAAAATGTTTTAATTAAAAAAGTGTGTTTAAGCAGCTAACTAAAGCCTGGATTTTGCAAGTTGTTCCATGCGGGCACATCGGTCTGCTCTGCCCAGCTCACTGCAGGGTTAGGGCCCATGTTGCAGTCTTACTACACCCAGCAGGCACAAGAAAACTCTAGTTGCATGAGGAACTCAGTGAGATTTAACGTTTCAGAAAGAATCCAGAACGTGAGCCAAGTCCTCTCATGCTAGAAAAAAAGACAAACTGAATTTGTTCCCTCTTTTTTTTTTTCTTGCCTTTTCTTTTTCTTCCTATGGTGCCTTCAGAGATTGCTCCTGTTGGTAACTGAGAGGCAATTATGGAAGTAAGACCAGAGGCATACTGAAAATCTTGCTGGATTCTGATCTCCATACACTGGTGTAAATCCAGTAATCAATAACTCCTCATCATCTCCAAAGCCAGTGGAGGGTAGAGTTATTTACATTGGTGTAACTGAGCTGAGAATCTGACCCCTTATCTTTATATAAAGGCTTCAGGGTGTAGTAATTTGCATCATGAAGTGTGTTTATGGCGGTTCTAAAAACATTCATATCATTTTAGATGCCACTAAAGAACATTTGTGTTTAATCTTGTTTCTAAGTATATTCATCCCTCATGATAAAATAATCTGTGGCAGAAGGTTTGAGCTCAACCACAAGGGAGGCAATGTTTGACATATGTTATAGGCAGAGATTGTAACACCACCTATTATTATTAACACTTCCATTGTAAAACTCTGTTTTCAGTTTTCAGAGTAGCAGCCGTGTTAGTCTGTATCCGCAAAAAGAA